TTGCCTGAGCCCGTGGGTTCGAGACCCACCTGGGCAGCGAGACCTCATCTCTACAGTAAATCAAAATATCAGCCGGGCGTGGTAGCGCATGCCTGTCATTCTGGCTACTGGGAAGGCTGAGGTGGAAGGATCGCCGGAGCCCAGCAGGGCGAGGCTGCACTCCAGTCTGGGCGACAGAGTGAGACTCCAACTCAAAAAAAAAAAAAGAATAAATAGGTTTAAACTCAGTGATTGTCAGTTTTTCATAATCCCCGGGTCACAGACGAGCAAGGCTTCCCGTGATCCCTGTAGAACTTACTGGCCTGTCTACAAATTTGCATCGAACCTTTTGCACTTATGGGATCTGAGTTAACCACTGCCACCTTTCTTCATCGACATTTAGGAGTAAGCTGGTGGGATGGAAACCTCTGAAGACAATTACAGTTCTAAAGAATGGGGTTCTCAACTGTGCTACCCAGCAAAAGAGGACTGGATAAAAAAATGTGGTACATATACACGATGGACTATTATGCAACCATAAAGAAGGACAAAATCATGAACTTCACAGCAACCTGGATGGACGTACAGTCGATAATACTTAGCGATCTATCACAGAAACAACGAACTGAGTATCACATGCTCTCACTCATAAGTGGACCTCGAACAATTATTGTAATACTGTAAGAAAAGGATTGACAGTAGCAGGAAACTGCCGGCCGGGGATGGGGTGGGAGACGCAGGATTGGCAGTTAGAGAATCTGCTGGGGAGGGGGGGGGCACGCCTCATCCACAACGGCACCTGCATCATGAACATTTGGATCCCTAACGCTGAATTGCACCCCACATCATTAGAATAAAAAAATCAAAAGAAAAAAAAAGAATGGGGTTCTTGTGAGAGGTAGCAAAGAGGAGGAAAGACATGCGTTTGGTTTCACCTGCTCCAAGCCATTCTGTGTCCCCACACTATCCCTGCCCGACGTGTCCTGTGTGAGGGTCACTAGGCTGAAGGCTCTGGGGTTCCCTCATTTTGAGATTCTGAGCGACATCACGAAACCTGCGGCCTTTTCCCTCCTGGCCGGCTTCGCCTCCCTCGAGGCTGCCTCCGTGGTCCCTCCCCCACCCAACTCCAGACCAAAACATTCCAACCCTCCAGCGGGTTAGACAGTAATCTGGCTTTGTAGCTGCCAACAGGTAAAGCTCGAAACTTGTTGAACACCAGGGAACTCTGAGCCATTCCTCCATATGTCGCCTCTCTTTCTTTCTCCTCCAGGATTAACCGGTGACGGGGCCTGTCTAGACAGCTTCTGACTACAGAATACTGGATCCAAGGCAGGGCCCAGAAAATAATTAATAAAATAATTCAAACATGATGCAGATGTGGTTCACCCACACACAGACCAAAAGCAAACAATTAGGGAGTGTGGGGGGCTTTTTGCTTTTTGTGTGTGTTTTACAATGACCTGAGGGGACCTCAAATGGTGTTGTGGGTAAAACAAAAGTTTTTTCTGTGGTAGGTGTGCTAAAGCCCTACGGAAATTCTAAAAGTCTATGATGTTGGCAGAAGAATCATAAAAGCCTCATGCGAAGTCTGAGAAGACATCGGATAAGAATTTTGTGAGAATGTCTTTTTTTACGTAAAAAGATGATCTACATTTCTGATTGTATTCTTTCTCTTTTATTTTTATTTTTTATGTAGAAAACCTCTGGCTTTAGATCTTTTTACTCTGTGAGTGGGTTCAGAGAAGAGCTAATTTGGGGGATCACAAGAGGTGAGTGTTGCTTGTGGCTTGGATTAACTTGTTAAATGTCTCCAGGCTTGTCCAGGAAGCCTCATGGTAGGGGGACAAATGTTGCCCAAATGTGTTTCATGCCTGAGCTTTGAGACACCCAAGGAGACCTTGCTTTATTCCTGAGATGATGCATTGTTTCAGCGTTGCAAAGTCAGAGATGTAGGAAGTGGGAAGAGGCCGGTGAACTTAAGCAAACGTTTTTAGCATTCAAAAGCCAGGGCCAACCCCAGTGAGCCATCGAAAGAACCTTCCAGAACACACGAGGAGTTTCAGAGGAGAGCGGGAGCTGGCCTTCAGAGGATGCCCCTGGAATCCGGATCACCCACTCAGTGTAGGACCCGGGGTCTGGGTGTTTTAGGGCCCACCAAAGGGCCCCTCTTGTCACACACCAAATCCACCAGGCACTGTGGTTCCTTGGAGGGGAAGACATGCCATGTGGAGGTGGCAGCTGTCCTGGCCGCCCGTGCATCCCTGCTACCCACAGGCCCCAGCAACTCTACTGCCCCAGACAGCCCACCATGCGGCCAGGTGGCCCACTGGCTGGAGGCTGGCTCTGCCTCTGTCTAGCAATGATACCCAGGCATCTTTTTCAGGGTGGCATGAGGAAGTCGGTGGAGGCTCCCTTTGGACTGGCAGAGCCACCTGCCGTCCACTGCCACCATCGTCCCAAGGAAAAATCCACAGAAGATACCATGGTGACAGAGTGCAGGCCAGCATGAGTTAGTGAGGAGACCAGCAGGGTCGTTTCCTCACCTTGCCCCTCCTCCAGAGCCCAGGCCTGAACAGGACCCCTCAGGGCAGGGAGAGAAGCTGCCCAGAGAGAAGACGCGGAAGCAGTGCCGTGGGGAGGGACAGCCTTGCCCAGAGAATGACTCCACGGTGGACATGGGACGTGGGCAAGGCTGGGGGTGCCCCGGCAGCTCTGTGCATTCAGCTACCTGGCAGTTTGAGATTTCTGAAAATCAGCCTGAAGAAAATAAGGAATTTTGTTTTACTTTTTCCAAGCTACATTGGTAGCCCATAGGACACAGCATAGTTTTCTTCTGGGAAGGGGAGGTCACCAGCAGAATGTCGGTGCCTCGGAAGCGGGCTTGCACAAGAAACAGGAAGTGGTGTCTAGTTTTTGAGAATTCTTCCCGGTGCCCAGGAGCATCATGACAGGTCCACATGCCAAATCCCTGTAGTGGAGTCCGTGGAGGCAGGAAGCAAAGCTTCACACCCTCCTTCCGGTTCCTCCTGCCACCTGCATGGCTTTCACGTGTTTAAAACAAGAGGTGTGGGGGTCCTGGCACGCCCCAAGTCAAGTATCTTGGTCATCCACACATCAGGCAACCCACGCTTTATGGTGATGCCCTTGAGCAGCTGCCTGTGCAAAGCTCTTAAACCAGTCCCAGGTGTGGAGTGCCTACCCCTCTGTGGAATCCTCCTGTCCTAAGCACCAGAGGAAGGTGTCGACTGTGCCAGGGACTGACAGATTTGGGTGGGGGTTCACATGCCTTTTGTTGATGGTTTCCCTAGGAGGATGGTTTCAAAGTTGTGATCACCTGTCGCCTGTGCCCACCTGGAAATATTACCAGTGCTCATGAAAAGGTCTTTAATAACAGGTAGATTCGACTGATTTAGGGGAAAAAGTCATTCCTCATGTGAAGGCTGTGAAGATGCTTTCTCTGCTGCCTCACAAAGGCTTGCTGTCACACTTTTTTTCTTTTTGGCCAGGAACTGACTGTGAGCAAGTATCCAGGGAGTATCTTCCCAGCTCTGCTGAGAGTTCACTGCTTCCTCGGCGGCCTGCACGTATCTGTAGGCGCTGGGCTCTCCGTGGCTCTGTTCTGATGACTCAGTTCCTCTCGCCCTTGGCAGCACCATGCGATGCCATCGCTGGGTTCTGGGAAAGCCCCGGCATCTTGCGGGACAAGTCCCACTCCTCCCAGCACCTCCCTGCTTTCCGTCAGGAGTGTCTGGCTACTTTGGGCCCTTTTTTCTTCCAAACAACTTTTAGAACCAGGTTGCTAGATTCAGTAACAAACAACTAAATAAAAACAAGGAACCCGTTGGACTTTTAGCTAGCCTTGCATTCAATATAGATAAATCGGGGATCATGACTTCCTTACTGTCTGTCAGTCCACAGCATGGAATAGTGTTCCATTTTCCTGGACCTTTGAAAACGTCTTTCAATAAAGTGTGATAATTTTCTCTAGAAAGAAAGCAAAAAGGAAAGAAGAAGCACACTTGGACCCATTGCTGACTCGAGAGGCTGCTCTGTGAAGTGGACGTCAGCCCGGCCGTGCAAACCAACCCAATCAGGATGAGTGGAAATCCATTGATTTCTCTGAGTTTCTAGAAGACTCACTACAGTTTCCACGTAACCTCCCACAGGGTGCCGTGTCTTTTTGTTTTCTGCCCGGCATGGCTGTCTCACCAGAGCTGAGGCACCCGCACGTCCCTGCCCACACCACGTCCCTTGTGCCCATCAAATCCCACGTGACAAGATCACAGTCGCACGGCGGCTGTTCAACAAACACCTACTCAGCCCGAAGGTGACCGCGATCAGTGGCCTACTCATCTGTTCACGTTAACGTTTAAAGACCATGCCACTCGCCACATGTGAATGGAATTTCAGGACCAGAGTAAACACAGAACAAGAGTTCCAGGTGTCAGACCTTTGTGAAAACAGGAGGGAAGCAGGCCGTGGTGGCTCCGTCGGGCCGGCAGAGGTGCGCAGTTGGACTGGGAGCCTGAAAAAGCAGAGACACAAGGTCAACTTCTAGGTAGAAAAGTGGCCGGAAAGACAAGACAGAGGAGCCTTTCCTGACAGGACCGTTCCTCCTGAATGAAGCAAGGGACACCGGCACCACCACACGGCGTGTGGTATGTACCCCTCTAGGGCGGGCGGGGATGCGCCCCTGAACAGAACGAGGAGACGCAAGCATTGCCACAAGGCACATGGTGCATCCCCTCACCGGGCAGATGTCATCCCCTCCTCAGTCCACAGCTGTGGTTCTTTTACACACCAGGGGACGTTCAAGGTCAACGTGGGTGCTTGGGGACCACATGTTTTCAATACTGTTACCAAATGGATTTTGGTGTTCAGGACTTCCAAGGGTTCTTTTTTTTTTTTTGAGTCAGAGTCTCACTGTCGCCCAGGCTGGAGTGCAGCGGCATGCTCAGGGCCACTGCAGCCACCACCTGGCAGTCTCCGGCGATCCTTCCACCTCAGCCTTCCAAGTAGCTGGAACTACAGGTGCACACGACCACACCTGGCTAATTTTTTTTCATTTATTGTAGAGACGAGGTCTCACCAAGTTGCCCAGGCTGATCTCGAACCCCCGGGCTCAGGCAATCCTCTGGCCTTGGCCTCACAAAGTGCTGGGATCACAAGCTTGACCACTGCGCCCGGCCCAAGGGGTCTTTTGAAAGGTTCTCACAGACTTTATATTTTATTTTTAAATACAGTTCAGATTCACTAGCTAAAAAGCCTCAGCTATAGGCAGTGGAGGGTGAAGTAATTTAGCAAACATCTGCCTGTCTTATTTTAACGTGTATTCTTTTCCGATATTGGTATTATGGGAGATGAAGGGAAAAGGAATACATTATTATTTTCTTGATGTGCAAAAAACAAAGGTGCTAAAATGCTTATCAAATGGCCTTTGTCTCTGGGGAAACAGGAAGACTTCAGGGCAGTGTATGGAAATTATGTCTTTGGGGTGAATGATTGTTTTCAGATGATCTGGATTCATTTACTCATATCAATAACTGTCAGCTTCTTAACCGAAGATGACAGTGATCTGGAATTACGTGTCCCATCGCGCTCCAGGGCATCATGAAGAACATCAGCAGAGACGCCAGGATGGGGACAGGCCCTAGCATCACCGGGAGGCTCCACCGGCTCGTGATTCAGAGGCCTGGACTTCACTTTCACTGCCTATTTATGTCCACAAACCATACGAACGCTTCCATAGTATTTGAGCACGTACACTGTGCCAGGCGTGATTCTAAGTGTCACTTGAAGATGAACTCACTGACTTCATGACAACTCTGCAATTCAGGTGGGACTGTTATCCTCACTTCACAGATGAGGGGCCCAGGCACGGGAGGCTGTAAATCACCCTCACTTCACAGTGAGGGGTCTAGGCCCGAGAAGCCTGCACTATTTGCCTAGGGTCCCTCCTGAGGGAGGGTAGTAATGGAACTCGACCCACTTGGGTTTTCCGGAGGGCAGCTTCATGTCACACTAACAACATGACAGCATTTTTCTGAGCACTTCGCTCTGCTGGCTCAAAAGGGGGGCTTCCATCTTCCATTCCTGCATAATCCAACCTGTTTACACGGCATGCTTTACTGTATTACGGTGTCCTCACATGTAGATGCAGGTGTGCCTCCTATCCTCAGGCTCTATGCTTTCGCTAAACACGTTCAGCCTATCAGGAAGTGTCTCCCGTGTCTACTTCCTGTTTCTCAGACCGGTTTATAGACTGTGGGAAAATGGGCTGTGGACACTTGTTTTCTGCCCTGGAATGCCCAGAGCAGTGCTCAGCATTCAATAAATACACACCGATACATAAGCACCAGAGTCTCCACTGATTTGATCAGAAATCTTTCTACAAAATCCACTTTGGTTTTGGGGTTTAAAGAAGCTAACAGTGATACGTGCTGTCTCTGAGCAACTTCTGCTCGTGGATTTGGGCTTATGGGCCCAAAAGTCCCTTCTCCACTGTGGGCTCTGTCCACACGGCACAAATGTGTATCCCACCTGCAGGTACTAATACCTCTGAATCCTCAGTGGACGCTGAAGGGGTGGGGGACACAGTGATGCTCGCAGGGCACACTCAGCAGTCAGGAGTGAGCTTACATGGCAGGCGTGTGTGCAAAACCTTCTGAGTGTTGTGTTTACAGATATCCACCATATCGTCAGATTTAGAGACATTTAGACAGACTGGTTTTTACTTGAAAAAGTTCATGTTTGTATTTGCAAAGTGAATCTACTTTCCAGTAGTTTACGTGATTGTTCCTTCTTGGCTAAAGCAGTCTTACCCTGAAATAAAAGCAGGACCGAAGAGCACGGGGAAACCAAGGAATCTGAGTTGATTTTTCTTGTTTGTGTAGCTTTTAGGAATCAGAAAGCTTTTTGTTAGTATACGGACTTGTCTTTTAGCTTGTTTTAAACGAGCTAATGAATCTGGCTAAATAAAAGAGGGCACAGATGTGAGAGAATAATCAAATAGTTACAGCTGAAACAGATACCATTATCAGATTATTAGCTGTTAGAGAAAGACGTGCCCAGTGGAAATGCAGATGTTGACTGACCGGCGGTGTGGCTTTGACAAGACGTTATTTTTAGTGGACTAAAAGTGAAGGACATTACCCACCACTTCTTTTCTCCCCGGTCTGTTTCCACTTGGAAAATATCTCAAGGGAGCGTCCTAGTTGGAGTCGAGTGATATTCTTAAAACCAAGAAGTCTGCTAATGAGTCTGACCCCTTGTGGGCTCTGGCCTGAGACTGGCTTACCTGCTGAACAGGCACAGACAGCGGCTGAATCACAGCTGTGGTCACCCCTGTCTTTGGGGAGGATGATCCTATTGTCAAGGAAACAGACGTTGTTTTCTTTTGAGCTCTGGAAAACAGGGAGGCAAGTGTTGCATCAGAACTTTTTCAGCAGGACTTATTCTTCGAAACGTCTCCACAAAGAGGCTGGGCTTTTTCTGTATCCCCCTACCCCTCCCACTGCAATTGTTTTAGCTGTAGCCGTAGCCTACAGCTAGGAGACCTATGGCCAGTTTATGTGCAGAATGTAGCTCACAGACATTTAGCAACATAAACACAGGGTGGAGGAAAAGTAGCTAGATGCAATTCCGACACTGGAAGGTTCTAAAACAGTACACTTGAAAATCCCAAGAGGAAACATTTGGCAAAAGTCTGAACATTGGCCGGGCTCGGTGGCTCAGCCTGTCATCCCAGCATTTTGGGAGGCCAAGGCATGGGCCCCAGCCCATGGGTTCAAGACCAGCCTGGGCAACTTGGTCAGACCTCCTCTGTACCATAAATAAAAAATTAGCCAGGTGCAGTAGCACACGCCTGTAGTTTCGGCTCCTTAGAAGGCTGAGGCGGAAGGATCGCCGGAGGCCAGCAGGCCACTGCACCCCAGCCTGGGTGACAGAGGGAGACTCCAACTCCAAAAAAAAAAGAAAAGAAAAAAGAAAAAAGTCTGTTTATTATCGGTAAGCAGATATTTGAAAAGTTTAGGGTTAGGGTCCTACGTTTAACTCCAAGATGTAGTTGACTATTTTAAGGCTGGCAGCTGTTTTTTGTTCTGGTCTCTAATTTTGTTGACAGCATCTTGGGATTTCTGTATTTTCTTAACTCAGCACAGTGAGTGAGGAGTATGGAAAGATTCAAGAGCGTTGGTTTCCAGGCCCAGCCTCGCTGGGTGGCTGGCTGTGCTATCTCACGCCAGTCACATCCTGTTACTACTCTTGAGTCTCTTGTCTAGAGTTGGGCGGGAGACATATGGTCTTATGAGGTCCTGTCAGCCTCAGGAAAGGACTGAAGGATACTGAACAAATACCACCGCGATGTATGGACTAGCAGAGCAAAGGGAGCCATCGGCACAGTCTCAATGCTAATGGAGGTTTCTACAGATTTCTAGCAGGTCTTATTTTATTTTTGCAAAATAATTAAGATATTAACATTGTATTAGGAATAACTAAGTTTTGTGACTTTTCAGGTATAAGATCTAGCTAGAAATAGATTTAATCCAAATAAAAACCCATTTCTGACCTAATCAAATATTGTCCAATTTGTATGAAAAATTGTTCCTCATGTACGTTTTAGTGATGATTTAACTGATTTTCTCCTAATGTGACTTCTCTTTTCAAACACTTATAATCCGTTAGATGGTTTTCTTTGCAAAGAATGCTGTATATGGTTAAATTCTGGCATATCACTGGTGAAATGCAGATCTCGAAGTTCAAGTTCATCAGTGAAACACTGTGTTCCAATGTCAAAGGTCTGATTTCTGCCATCAGTTGATGTTTCCGTCAAGCATGACCCGAACATCTTCACACCCCAACAGTCCTTCACTTACAGAGAGTGGATGGGACTTAGGTACTTACTGTGGCATCGCTCCAGCGTTTAATTTGAAAGCTAAACTTTCACTGTCAGAGTCTGTTGAGCTGGCACCTGGGAAAGGATGATGAAAAGGTAAGATGTCAGTGATGCCTATAAGAACCTCTAAAGTTATAGTCTTTTTTTTTTTTTTTTTTTGAGTTAGAGTCTCACTCTTGTCGCCTAGGCTGGAGTGCAGTGGCACGCTCATGACCACCATAGTCCCGACCTGCTGGGCTCAGGCAATCCCTCCGCCTCAGCCTTCCAAGTAGCTGGAAATACAGGCGTGCACTACCACGCCCAGTTAATTTTTGATTTATTGTAGAGACAAGGTCTCGCCAAGCTGCCGGGGCTGGTCTCGAACCCACGGGCTCAGGCAATCCACTCACCTCGGCCTCCCAAAGTGCTAGGATGACAGGCTGAGCCACTGAGCCCGGCCATAGTCTTCTTTTTCAATCAATAACAGAATCTTATTTTGACCTAAATATACAACGACACAGAGGATGACTCAGGTTCAGACCACTTCACAGATTTCACCAAATCTGCTTTTACGGGCAGATTTATTATTCATTTCGTTTTTATCATGTGGCCATCACAACTAAACTTTTAATTGGCTTATGAACTACAGAATAAATGTGTGTCTGTCGGTGCTTCTGAACCACGACCCTCTGCAGGAGAGCACAGGGTATGGACGCCAATGTCTCTGTTCCTCGCTAATCAGAAGATGCTTTCTGACTACTGAGTAAAACCCAGCATAACACGACTTTGTTCTGGAACGAGAGCCTTTACTTTTTGGATCATGCCTTCACAGACTCATTTGCAGCAATATCGTTTCTAAATAAAAGGCCACCTTGTCAGATTTTTAGTCCAAATGTAAACTGCACTCAGATTTCAATTTATACATATTTTGTGTCAAAGATTTCAGTGACAGATTTAAAACAATTGCAATCATTCAAAGTATAAGCTTGTTGTTTCTAAGATATATTTAACTTGAGTTATTTAATTATCTTAAAAAACAGTACAAGGGGGACCCCAAGAAAATCAGAATGATTATTTGGAAGGCAGGCCCCTTATAGTACAGGCCTCCCTTGCTAGGTAAGTGTTCTAGGAACCCATTGGCATCAGTGTCCAACTTGTGTTGTTGTGAGGCTGCGTTTGGCTTCAGTGAACTTTTTTTTTTAGATTCTGTCAACACGTTTGCCCATTTCATGATGGGCGATTTGTGAGCACACCCGCCCACACTGCACTGAGTGCTCAGCTGTTTTGGACTGAAAATGGTGTGACCCCCTTGGCCCACCCTCCCTATTAAACTGATCTTCCCCTGAGCACCTTTTTTTTTGTTTCCTTGGATGAAAAAAGTCCTCAAAGAGAAACATTTTGCCAATATGGAAGAGGTGAAACAAAAACATGGCAGAAGCACTAAAAGGCATCAAAATGGACTATTTTGAGCAGTGGGGAAAGCATCTCGATAGGTGTATTGCAACCAACAGAGAGCACTGGAAGGTGACTGACATTTAAACATGTAAGAATAAATATAAATAAATTCTACTTCTTTTTGAGTCCCTCCATGTGCATGCTTCTAGAAAAGGAGCCAAACAGCACAGAATTGTGTGACACAGCAGTAAAGGTCAGCGGGCCCCTTCCTAAGTACCCCTCTGCATGTGCTAATAGTCTGGTGTGTCATTTTCCAGAGAAGTTTAATACTGAATCTCAAACACATACACTGAGGTACATACCAGTGGACTCATACCACATGTCCGTGTTGCAACTGGCAACTTTTACTATCATGGGATTTAGAAGACCCACATCTGCCCAGTTCTCTTGGGGGTTGCCTAGCATTCCCTCCACGACTCTCCTGTGACGTGGGTCCAGTCCTTTCTGGACATGGAAACAGCCCTGTGTTGGTAGCTGTCAGAATGCTTGTTGTCCCGTCCATTCCTCCCGCCACTGACTCCGGCGTGGGCCAGCTCCGCCCGCCTCCTGGCCTGGACGACAGCCTCTCCTCCCGCCTGCCCGCGCTCACCCACAAAGTCACCTGCACCCTCTGTCAGGTTGATCTTCCCAGGCACATCTTCCTGTGGAAAGACTCGACGATTTGAGCGTCTGCTTGGTAAGTTAACCCCCACCTGACACTGAATGGCCGTTGTGATTTCCGCCTGATCTTCTAGCTCTGTCTGTGAGAAAGTCCCACACCTCCGGGGCATGGAGCCCAATCCAGAGAGCTGGATTCACATGCCGGGATACACACCACAGGTGGGGGCAAGCAAGGAACATACAATCGCACACGCACACATGCATATACTCACAATACAAACATGCATGCAGTCACACATGCATACGCTCGCACACGCTCACACACACATGCACACACACAAACTCACACATACTTGCATGCACTCATACATGCTCACACACATACACTCATATGCACACACACATACATAATTCACATGCACTCTCACACACACGTGCTCACACACACTCCCACACACGCCCACATGCTCTCACACACACCAGCACTCATACACACGCACACATATATGCTCACCCCTAAGATCCCCAGGCTCTTCCGGATTGTCTGTCTCTGGGGTTGGCAGTTGCCGTTCCTGGCGTCTTCCCTGGGCACCCGTGTCTCTGCCCACCCCACCCGTGTCCCTCGTAACATCACTCCTGATGGATTATCAGCTCCCTGAGCATCGAGGTGGGGTCAGGCGGGCACTGCCACACCCTGAGTACTTCTCCTCACTTGATCAGTATAATAACAAGCCTCACTGAGGAGTGAGCACGTTCAACTCATAGATTAGATGATAAGCCGAGGACCCGAGAGGGTCAATGACCGCACAGGTCACATGCTCAGCAGGCAGCGGGGACAGGGGTACACACATGCTGCTGGACTCAAGGCCCTGACCTTACAACCCTGAGAGCCTGTGATGCCCACCTGTCCTGTGTGCTTGACCGGGTGCCTCGCGCATGCAGGCCTTCCAGGAATGAGCCCTGGGACCAGGGAGTGGCCAGATTAGAGTGAGGATGGAGAGGGACCTGGCCACAAGGGAAGAGAAGCTGGTGCAGGTAATGGGCCTGGAACACAGGGAGGGTGTGGCCCACGGGGTTGACCTTGGCCTGGCTATCTGGGCAAGGAGGGCGGCCTGGGAAAACAGGGCGAAGTGAGAAGCAGGCCACGAAAGCAGGCGATGGGCGAGGGGCAAGTCTGGCTGGGGTGCGGGTGGGCGCTGAGGAAAAGCCAGCCGAGGCTCCACAGCCAGAAGGTCGCGAGGGACCCAGGGACCGTTTTCCTGGAACCACAACTGTGTTCAGGAAGGGGGTTTGGGGCGGCAAAACCATAGGGAAGTGATCACAGACTCTCGCAAACGGTCAGACACTGGGGAGAGAACAGTTATTTTCACCTGATTCCAAACATCTAAACCATAAAAGCGCTTCCTCTGAGAACCTCTCTGGAAAAAGTCACTTTCTACTTTTCTCCAGCTGATCATCGCAGAAAGGTGAAGGCCAGGAAGGCTGATGTCCCTAGATGAGAACACACCTGTGAGCTCTCGCACACCTGTCTACCCGGGGGACTCTCAAAGTCACCTTCTGTCTCGGGTGTCAGAGCCGCAGCAAGTGGCAGATCAAGTCTCCCTCCGGTGCCAGCCGGTCCCCCAGGGCCACCCTCCCTCCCTCCCCTGCTGTCCGCCCTTGCTCATCCGCTCGGCAGCTGCTGGTTGGGAAATGACACCCCTGTCTTGAGAGCCCGGCTTCACTTCCTGTGTCCATCCCATTCTGGAGGCGGGCTCCTGTCTGACGGCCACACGGTCCTGAGCCATGACTGCCGTGTGTTCACCTGATGTTCACCTAAACCGCAGCTCCTCCTGAAACAACTCCATCTCTCCCCAGAGTGCAGGAAGCCCATGATGAGACCTTGCTCCTGCCCTGGAAAGGGATGGCCTGGAAATGTCACCAGAACAGCCCCCGTCTGACTGTCCAAGGGGCCCCTTTCAACTTAAATCTCACCTAGTTCAACACTTTCTTACAGGAAAGACCCAGAAAATAACACACAAGCAAAAACTAAAGACAGAATTGTTTGGGATACTGCAACCCAGATGTTTTGTAGTGTGTTCTTCCAAAGCACACCCGTGTGCTTAGACAACTAATAAATATATCCTAAAAAGTAAGACAGCGCTATGTGCACTGTTCAATGCCCATATCTTCTCCCACATTGCACCGTGAGAAAAGCCTTTTCATGCCGATAAATATGTACTTTTGATCTTCTAATGGCTGCCTCAGATTCATTTGTGTGCATTTAACATCCTTTGATCATTCTACTTTTGTCAGATATATTTATTATTTCCATTTTTGCACACCTCCTGAAAGATGTGTATCATTTACCAAAAATCCATTTCCCCACACCATGAAAACACCATATTCCAATTATTTTAAATTTTGTCTTTCTGATATTTTCCTTGATAACAAAAAAAACCTATATATTTCTGAGTGGAAGCAAACTAGATGTGAATCCTATGGCCTCAACCTCAGGACACAGGAAGACTTCACAGAGGCAGATACCTACCACTTAAGAAAATATATGAGGGGCAACCCCCTGGGGTCCCCTCCTGCTCTGAGAGCTTTTCTGTCCTCTCAATAAATCCTGCTTTCAAAAAAAAGAGAAAATATATGAGACGGGATCCCCAAAACACTGGAATTATCTCTTGGAGTGTCAGGCTTCCCCTGCGAGGTGGGTGTTCTAGGAATCCATCAACATCAGTGTACCAGCTAGCATTGCTGTGAGAGACAATTTGTGGAGAGACACCCCAAATTGTGGCCAACAGGCGACTGGTTCTCCCACCACGACGATGTACTTGCCCACACCATGCTGAATGTTCTGCAGTTTTTGACCAAAACGGGCATGACCCCCGTGGCCCCCTCCCTGTTCACCCAATCACCCTGAGTGGCTTTTTTTTGTTTCCTGGATGAAAAAGATCCTCAAAGGGATATGCTTTGTCAATGTGAAAGAAGTGAAACAAAAAACGGTAGGAGCACTAAGAGGCATCAAAAGTGACGAATTCACAAACTGTTTTGAG